ACAGAGCGTCCAGAGAACGTTAGGTCAGCTCAGTCCTCTGCTGCTGCTGCTGTCAGTCCTTTGCAGCTGCACTCAACTTTCTGCATTTTCTCTGTGTTTTCACTTTGTTTCGACTTCTTTCGNCAGAGAACGTTAGGTCAGCTCAGTCCTCTGCTGCTGCTGCTGTCAGTCCTTTGCAGCTGCACTCAACTTTCTGCATTTTCTCTGTGTTTTCACTTTGTTTCGACTTCTTTCGCTGACACTTGGGCGACGAGATGGACCACGAGAAGCTACTTCACGAAGCTCGTCGACGTATTCTCGCCGATGCCGAAGAAGCCAGAGAGGTAATGCACAGTGAGCTGAGTCGAGTGATGCACAGTGCCTTCAAGGAGAAGCTGCAGACCATCGGTGCTGCCTCAAACCTGCTCGCTCTGGGCAATCCGCACTTTGATCCAATTGAGGCGCTGGAGAAATATCTCATCAACTCATCCACTGACAACTCCATTCCACCGGCAATGCATGTTCACCTGGTGAAGTTCCTCTCTGACCAGAAGCAGCCACCAGTTCCAGAAGTGCCCTGCAAATACGAGTCTCTCTATGACAGCAGCAGTGAATCGCCCATCGACCTCAGCTGCTCATCATCATCATCATCAGCATCATCGGTCTTCTCGTCACCGTCGCGAGCTTATTCACCACAACAGGTGGACAAGAAGTTTGACTGTCGTCGAAACTTATTGCCGTCGATACTGGAGCAGCAGCAGCAGTCGTTTATCAGTTCGCAGGCACGAAAACGCAAGTACTCAATGGCAGACCTGGACACTGCACTAGAGCCGCCCGTCAATCAGTCGGCGGCTTTTCAGGCTGCTCAAGTGAAGGAGATCAGACAGGATGAGTCGATCAACAACTTTGCCAAGGAGAACCGCAAGGAGAATCTGCTCACCCTGCAGCGCAAGTGCCTGATCGACGGCTGCAATCTGCACTTTGGCAACAAGAACACGATGCACGATCACATGGCCGAGGTGCACAATGTGCTCAAGTTCAGCTGCCATGTTCGCAACTGCGGTATTTCCTGTCACACACAGTAAGTACTGGCAGTTTTGGCAATTTCATTTCAACCCAAATCTAAACCCCACCTTTCTTCTTTTGCAGACAACAGCTGAGCAATCACCTAATGGTCGCCCACTCTTCTATGACTGTCTTTTCCTGCTCTAAGTGCGGCAAGACCTTCAAGAAGTACGATTTAATGTCGCACCACATCTACGCAGAGCACGCCGTGGGACTATACCAGTGCGCCGTTGAAGGGTGCACCTTCCAGGCGAACATTCGCTCTCAGGTGTCGCGACACTTTGAGAAGAGTCACCGAAAGTACTGCTGCTCGTACTGCAACCGTGCATTCTCCTACACTGGGCACTTGCGTTGCCACGAACGAACGCACCTTCGCGTGAAGCCCTTTTCGTGCACCTTTGGCAAGTGCACCTACACCAGCGAGAACAAGTCGCACCTCATTTCTCATGTGCGCATTAAGCACTTCGGCCTGCCGATCACCAAGAAGCTGCAGGTGGCCCTGAACATTGAGGATGATCGCAATCCAATGGACTACATGGCCGTTGACTACGAGCTGATTGAGCAAACCAAGAATCTGTTCAAGAAAAATAACCTCAGTTTTGACTGAACCTACAATTGATCAAGGCTGGACAGTGTTGAACCCTTCGTGAAGACAAATTTCTTCTTTCTATCTCATCTATTTGATCTCTTCAACTACTACAGTGTGATGATTTGCATTATTCGGTGATGCGAATGTGATACCATTTCGAGTGCCCCTACCTGTGACGACTACCTGCATGCTTAGATTTTTAGATTTTATGTATTCTGTGTAAACCCGCAACAAAAAATACTTTTTATTCAAATAAAATTTTTCTACAATCACATCATCAATTTACAGTCAGTTTACTTTGGCCAGTTGTCCTAAAAAATGGACCATATCTCGAGCAGCGTCGTCGATGCTGTCGGCACACTTTGTTTTTGATTTGGCAGTGAAGGAAACCACCTTTTTAATCTCAATCGTCACGCAGTACGGCGCCTCGTAGATGTGAATCAGATCTCCATTTAACGTTTTCAGCGCTTCCACTATTTCAATATCACGTTTCGTTGGGCTGTAAGCTGTAAAATGCAATTAAGCAAAAACAAAAAAAATTGAAGCATCAAGTAGGAGAAGACTGGCAAAGCACACTATGCAACACTGAAAAGGAGCACTCACTTTCTGAGAAGTCTTTCAGCAGTCGAAGTAAATTTTGAATAAAGTCCAACAGCTGATTGGCGGCACGAAGTGAAGTCTCTGGGCCGACCTTTTCGGTGAATGAGACTAGATTCTCGACGGTGACTGTGCTCAGCTGCAGCGTCTCTGAGTTGTACTCCAGTAGTCTGATGGGCTCACCGCCTGCCTTGAGCGCTTCAATCATCGTCAGACTGTCGTTTGAGTGCTGCACCTCTTCAGGGAGCTCTCGGTAGTGCTCCAATAGCTGATGAAGACGTTCCACCAGATAGGGTGCCATGTCTCAAATGAAAGAAAGTTGGTAGAAAAAGTAAATAAAAGTGAGAGTAAAAGTGAAAGCAACCGTAGTCAATCACTGGTTTGGAGTAATGAGAGCACCTCGCTGGAGTGAGCACACTGTCGGCAAATACCAACTGACACCGATAACAACTGGTCACCGGCCAACAGCAGCACCAGCAGCAACTGTCTATCCGTCTGTCAACATCATCCAAATGACTCTCTCCTAGATTGCTATCAGATAATCGCACTTGTCACTCACCTGATGATAAGGCAGTCGTTGGCGGTGGATGTTTACTGAGCACTAATTAGTGGCGTCGTGTTGAGAGAGGCTACCGCTAGAAAAGTGTGTGAGCTGGCAGTGCAAATGGTAAATTGGTTGACGGTTGACAGGTGTGTGCACTGCACACTGTGTGGCAATTACTTTCACGGATACACTGACACTGTCAGTGCGATAGTGCAACACGTACAGTTGCAGTGCGATGCTGATAGTTTTATGTTATTACTTTTAGTTAAATGCAGTAAAATAGTACATGTGACAATGTGGAGGAATCTCCAGAGAATCTCAGTGAAAATGTCGTCATGAAAAGGATAGAAATATTGTTATGCTCGGTAGGGGAAGGGGGCAAAAGTGGGGGGGGGCAAAAACAGTTGACAACAAAATAGATATATTCTGTATAGAGCTTTGTAGAGGGGAGAACAGGAGACGGCGTTGTATATCATTGCGACCCTTCCTCTCACTGTTCATTTGGCAATATAGAAAGCCAGCAAGTGAGCACTATGGCATTTAAACATAGCCCGATGTGAGTAATTGGCCTGTCAGACATGCAGCAGTTCATTAGCATCCTCTTCATTTGCCTCAGTCGTCTCATTGGGCTCGGCTATCACATTCACTTTGATGGGTCCTTCCACCTCGGCGGCTTTCACTGAGACTTTGCAGGCTGGTAGAATTGTCACTGCCTCCAAGTGCTTGGGAACGTCTGGCGAAAGGGCCGACACCGAGGTGGTCGTTTCTACGTCCTCGGTGTCCTCCTCTTCTGCGGGCACAAATTCAAATGAGTACGCCCAGTGAGACTTGATGATGAAGATGGCGATGAAGAAAACGGTGGCGACCAGGGCGAGCACGGTGCACCAGGCAGCCACTGAGTGCTCCATCGATGGCGTGCCAATCCTCTCAGGACTGCTCACATCATCGGCCGTGGAGTCGTAGTCGATGAGCAGCTGCGCCTTCAGGTACCGGTTCTGTGCCCGCATGTAGACGATCCAGGCGATGGCCACCAGAATCCAGAGCAGTGGCAGCATGTAGAAGGCCAGTCGAATGGTGAAGTGCGTCAGCGAGAGAAAGCGGTCCAGGGAGTGCATGTTCAGGTAGTAGGCAATGGAGTGACCAGCGCCGGAGCCGGTGCCCCCACTGCTGCTGCCACTGTGGCAGGTGAAGGGCGTTGAGGACCGGTGGCTGGAGCAGTAGCCCTCACTGGAGGAGTAGTTGGGCTTGCGGAACTGCTCCGGAGAGCAGGCCACAGTCGAGCAGATGTCCTCAGAGAGATAGAGCATCGAGGAGGCGGAGGAGAGGATGCCACCACCACAACTACCAACTCCATTGACCACCGGGGAAGAGAGAGCATCAGGACTGGTGGCAGAGAGATCGATAGAGTTTAGACGATCTGATGGTTCACAGCTAGGGCGATTTCTAGGGAGAGGGGAAAAAGCGCACACATACAGGTTTAATTTAATTCAACCGTTTATTCAGTTGACTACTTACGAGAGTGGCGTTCTCTGCTTCCTCGTCAGCGTCTGCAGTCGATGCAGTGAACTGGGACTGTTCAGTATCAGCGAGTCAATGGACTTGTTATTGCTCGTGCAGCAGTGAGCTGTTGATTGCTGCTGCGGCTGGTGATGATGATGATGATCAGCCAGCAGCTCGGTGGTAGAGCACGGAAGGGGAGAGGTCATTGCGAGTGTTTCAGGGGAATGAGTTTCAACTGAGATGATCAATGAGTTGATGATTGAGGAGTGAACGCATTAGAATGAAGTGCATTGTGCAGCACACACTTGGTCTGCCGCAGACTGAGACGCATCTGAGACGGCGGTGACTGCCCAAAGTCTGCAGTAGTAGATCAGCAGCCGAACCACTGCAGTAGGAAGTGCTCCACCAGACAGACCGTAAAAGTAACCGAGCCGCACTTGAGCGATGCTCCAAAGTGGATGCGGGTACTGCTGAGTTCATTCTTTTGAGACGAAAACATTGCCAGACAGAAGCTTCGGTGAATGCTTGAGAGAACGTTCTTTCTCTCTCCTTCTCTTCCTCATTTCTTCTTCTTGTAGACAGAGCCAAACAGCAGAAGAGAAAAGACGAAGAGAAATGCGCCTGGGGGAGCAAAAACAGGGAGGACCATGTNATGCTTGAGAGAACGTTCTTTCTCTCTCCTTCTCTTTCTCATTTCTTCTTCTTGTAGACAGAGCCAAACAGCAGAAGAGAAAAGACGAAGAAGACGAAGAAAAATGCGCCTGGGGGAGCAAAAATAGGGAGGACCATGTTTTCGGCTTTTAGAACAGAGTGAAAATGGAGGGGCAAAATGAGGAGCTGAAGCACAATCGCCACCGTCCTAGTGTGGTAGCGTAGGTTTTCTTCTCAATGAAACTCGATCACTGGGCGTCTCTATATACTCCGTACACTCTTTGGCGCCAGACAACAGTCTACTAGTGCTGTTGTTGGGTCGCTGGTCTACTTACTTTCCTCCACTTTGTCTACTACCAAAACACAGCGCGCACCGGAAACAAGGTCGAGTATATAGCGTGGACATTGGAAATTAGTATGTAAATATAGAGCGAGCGAAAAGACAGTCTCTCTGGTGGAAGTCAGCGTCGGGGGACCACGAAACTACCAAGTGGGACAGAAAAGTGGCGCAATGAGGAACGAAAGAAGCGACTGTCGCCTAATGACACTGTAAACCCTCTCTATAAAGTAGGGCTTCCGCGTTGAAAGCGAAAAGTGTGCCACCAAAGCCGGCGGTGGTGGTGCTTGGCAACACCGGTGCACTGGCGATGAGTCATCAGGCAGCGTGGAAAAGAAGAAGAGAAGGTCCCATTGACATTTGAAAAGCTAAAAGCTAATTAGCTGTGTTTTTCGGCAGAAAATAATAGAACAGAACTGCCTCTTTGAGACCACTCTCGCGTCTCTTCCCAGAAGGAAAGCCGCACAAAAGTGGTAAACAAGCTTAATTAGGTTACCTTATTGTTATTATTTGAATACCTTGCACTATTTTTATTATTTCATTGTTCACTGCTTGACAAAGGCTGAATAAATGGAATGGTAAACAGATATTCCAAGAGCTTGCAGCGCGCCGCCCACGCCGCCGATATTGGCAATGGCTGAGAAGGCGATGTTCGCCTCGGGGAAGATCATCAGTATGGCACTAGAGCCGCCGACGCCGCCGATGTGGAACACTCCGGTGGTGTGGTTCCAGACGCGATCTTTGTTGTCTGCCGGAAAGTCTATCCGCTCCCAGCCCATTGCGTAGAGGTGCTGCACGTGGGCGTGATGGTTGCCCTCAGCGTCGGAGAGTGTGTCTGTGGTGATGCCCACCGGTGGCTTGTAGTTCCACAGTGACTTGACGGTGTCAGAGTTGAGGAAGCGGCCGGGGTAGTGGTGGTAGGAGAGCAGCATCGCTTCACCGTAAGACAGCAGGCCATCGGCAGTGGAGATCACCCCGCCGGCTGGCCAGTGGGGAAAGGGACGCAGAGAGTCGGTGATGGGCGCTGGCCGCAGTTGAACTTTGCCATCGGGCATGTGGTGAACCTGAGGTGACAGTCACCTGAGTAAGTAGACAATCAAGGTAGTTTAGTTGAACCTGGCACCTACCTGGTACTGACCACCTCTATGGGGAAGCACCTGCAGACGATCGTCCGACTGAGTTCGGCTCATGACCCGCTTGTTCATGAACTCGTTGAGCACTGTGTGATAGGAGCGCTTCTCCACCGCCTCCACCACGGCGCCCAGCAATTGCCAGCCATTGTTGGAGTAGTGAAAGTGAGTGCCAGGCGCCGAGAGCAATGGATCGTGGGCAAAAAAGCGAACCGTTTGTGTGGTGTTGGTGATGTGCAGGCCGTAGTCGTGCAGCAGA